AATAAAGAGGTTAATATAAAAAATATTTTTTGTCCGATTCATCGATTAAACGAAAAAATAATCGGCCGATTCATCGATTTTTAAAAAAATCGTTAGTTGCAGCCCTAACAGTCTTAGGCCATTTCTCAATTCACAACACCGCGAGTACGGACTTGTGTCTTCGCCAAGTATGTTCCTGAGAAGAACACAGGAAAGTCTGGACTCATGGAGCAAACAGTATAAATCTGGGTCAATGGGAACAGAAGCGCACTGATGACATCATCACACGCTTGGCTCATCTAGAGCTGCATATCTCCTCCTGTTATTAATAGACTCTAGATAAGGATAAATTCTGACTTTTTTTATTTATTGGGGAAAGAATAATGAACACAGTCAGATAAACAAATATTAAATGAAGATTTAAAAAAAAAAGAAAAGCAACAGAGAAGAAACAACAAAGGCCGTACGCCCCTCCCCTACCTGTTTCCAGACTGGGGACCCATCTGGTTATGGGGGGTGGAGGAGCGGGTCGGGGGCTTCAGGTCTACAGGAGCTTCAGTGAGAGAGCTGCTGCTGGACTGCGGGGTGTGGGGGCCCTGCAGGGAGCCGGAGTTTGCTGCAGAGACACAGATCAGAGCATCAGCATCCAACCTGAGAGGCTGAGCAGCGAGACGCAGCTTTAGAGGCACGAGGAACCACGTTACTGTTGCACCATAAACCCACAATCCTGCTCACATTCTTCTCCTTTGCAGCCGTCTGGATTCAAAACTCATTTCTAACCTTAACCAACCTCTGGCCTCAGTCACACCTTGACAATTCAGACCAGCTAATGCCTGACGTATGAAAAATCTGGGAAAAACGCAGGCATATGTTGGGTAAGTTATGATTACGCTGACACACGTCAACATACAGCAAGTCGTGACGTATGCCTGTGTATGCCATACATGGGACATAAGTTCCAGCTAAGTTATCTGATGGTTAAGTTCAGTCTAAGTTCCTCATCAGTTGTGGCGTCTAGCTTATCCTAAACCTCTAACTTGTGCATAACATCTGCGTAACTTATCAAGAACTTCTCTCCAACGCATATCAACGTATCTGACGTGTTCCAGACGAGCGCTGAAGGTGTTTCTACCTTCCAGCTACTGTATAACGGCGTATTGGCAGCGTTTTGGTATAAAGGGGGTTCACAGGAGGAAACCGTCAGTTCATCATAGGGTGAGCCAGAAGGTGAGAGTGATGGATCCTCCCCTCGTTCACGCCCACCACCAACTAACTTCCTAGAAGACATGACGGTAAATCTGCTGCGATTGCAAATCTTCTCTCTTTTTCTTTACTCTTTTTTTTTTTGGGCGGGCGGTAAACAGCAGCTAGGTCAAAGACATCTATGCTGCCATGCTTTATGCAGAAGTTAGTTAAGTCAATGGACATAAGTTCTGGACTCGTTATGAATACTCTATGCATACATCCAAAATTGAACAAATACAAAATAGGGGTGGAATGGTTCACAAAATCCACGCTTCGGTTCGGTTCACGGTTTTCGGTTCGGTATATGTTGATTGTTACACCGAACTCCCATAAAAATTTATGAAATCAATGAAAAACTCCCCAAAAATTAATGAATTGTAATTATTTTTTATGTTCCGCGGAAACCCTGAATCATTTCCGCATGTTTTGCGGCTTTGAATTTAATAATCTCGCGCATGCGGACGGGAGCCACAGTGGAGGCTGTAGGCTTTGCTTTGAGCAGCTGGTCTGGAGCGCAGCGCTGACGGAGTATGAGGGATTTCGGCGTTAGCCTGACATGTTGGTCGTGTTGCTGTTAGCATAAACAAAACATGTTGCACAATGCTTGCACACTGTTGCACTTTTATCCACAGCTTTCTTTCCGCCGTCATCGTAGGTCACTCTAAATGCAAAGTGGTCCCATACAGCAGACCTATAAAGTGCTGCTGGCGCGTCTTCCAACTCCTGTTCTTTCCCACTCGCCATACCCACACAATTCTCCACAACAACTGATTTTTTTCTGCTACACCCGGTTACGCTGCTTCGCTTCTTCATCTTCTTGTTTACTACTGGCGGTTGGCTTTGGTCGCAGTACCGCCACCTTCTGCTCTGGAGTGTAAACGCTTCGCCTATGAGAAAAAGGAGCAGCATGAACCGAACGCAACACACGCGAACCGAACCGAGACAGTCAAACCCAACGGTTCGGACGGTTTTCATAAACCGTTCCATCCCTAATACAAAAGTTCAGGCTATGCCAGGTTTTTAGAAGAGGGACGTCAGGCATACGGCGGCGTGAGAGGGCCCTCAGATCTCTGTGGAAACATCTAAAGCTTGTTTATTTGCAGACTTCTTACAAACTAAATCAAACCAGCTGCCCTTTAATAACCAGATACAATCATTTACTGCAAACACAGTTTAGAAAAGATGAGCTGCTACATGTTTCTGCTCTATGAACTATTTTACTATCAGATAAAGCTTAGTAACCTTTGACCAACATAATAGAACTGATTATTTTTATTAAATGGTTGAAAATGGGTTTTAAGATTGACAAAAGCACCTTGGAAAAGTATTTACACCTTGATCTTGGGGTCTAACTAGATCCTTACAGTGAAATGGAAGGAAAATGATTGACAGTTTGTAATATTTTCTTTTCTATTAGCAGCTAAACTCACTCAGACTGGATGGAGAAAATCTGGGATCTTTTATTTAGACTGAGGATACATATATATATTTTTTTGTTTTTATTGGAGTTTCAGTCACATAAGGTCTGAGTAAAACATTTTTTTGTTCATTTATGATTTGGATCAGAAAGGTTTCTGTTATTTTTCAAGCTTAAAAAAGAAATCAGGTTTTTAAAAGTCTGGAAACAAACATTATTCTACATTATTATAATATAAATCAGGTAGAAAAGGCAGAAAAAAAGGAGAACCTGCCTGTTTTCTATCATGTTTATAAGACAACAGAAACGTGTTTATTTCCCTCTGCAGAGTGGGATCACAGAGGCATTGTGGGTAACTGGGTCAAAATGAGGTCACTAGTGTTTCTGCTCACACTGAGCTCTCACCAGACGGCTCACCACGAGGCCGTTACATCACTCCATCTGTGAAAGAGCAGCGGCTTCTCTGGGCGCCGCGCTTCATGTTGTCTCACCTGGAGAAGGCGGCTGAGCCTTGGCCTGCAGGGAAGCGGGCTTCTTGGTGTCGCCGGCGCCCTCGGGCGGAGGCTCCTCTCCTCGCTCCATCTTGCACTCGTAGGCGAACAGGTACTGGATGTACTGCTTCTTCAGGGAGCTGGCCGAGCTGCTGGACGTCCCTACGTTCAGCAGGGATGACAGCTCTCTCCACTTCTTGTTCTTGTTCACCTGAAACGTGGAAAGACGCAGACCCAAACCGGATCCATCAACCCGAGGATAGAAAACATGTTTACTGATTAGAGAGGCAACCGGAGCAAAGAGCAGCGAGGGAAACCTCACCATGGCCAGTCCTCCGACCTCTCGCACAGCCAGGTAAAGCCGGCACAGGTCCAGAGGCTTCTTCCCGACCGCCGGTAGGTTTGGGACCGGCGTCCCTCTCTCCTCCATGAAGGACAGGTAGCGGTCCACCCACAGCCTCCTCTCCGGCTCTGAGCCCATCTCATAGAGCCTGGTGATCTTCTCCGTGGTCATGGTGGCAGCGTTGGGCTTCTGGACACAGAGACGACATCAATTTGCTCTCAGAGGTAAAAACTGTAAACTGCAGCGCATTAAAGCCGTCGTTTTTTTTCTGAAGGTTCTTAGTCTTTGAAGTCGAACTCAGTATCCAAGGAAACCGACAGTGGATTCATTTATCACAGGTAAACAATGCGCCAGGAAGAATCTTAGTGGGAGGGGCTTACCGGGCTGGGAGGAGTCCTGAGCCAGGCGGGGCAGCTGATGCCATCGCCGTCCTCCCCCACACAGGAGGACACGCTGGCCGAGCCGGGGGACATGGGATAGGGGGTGGGGGGGTGCGGCCCGCACTGGGAGCTGTAGCCATCCTGCTAGGAAACACACGGTAACCAGACCCAAGGTCAGAGCGTAGAGCGATCAGAGGAATCACCAAGAACTAAACCGCCGGATCTCAACCTGAGCCTACGACATGAAGCCTTCCCCCTTTAACACGCCTGGATCAGAGGGATGAATCAATCTGAGGTGAGCTGGAAACCAGGCGGTCGTCTGAAGAGTGAAAGCTAAAAAACAATAAGTCAGCTAGCGCTACCTGGTGTAATCCTGCTGCAGTGGTAAAATACGCCTTACCCACTGGACAAAAAACCCATTTAACCCCGCGAACAATCAGCTTCTAGTGGCAGTAGGAACAGTTCACTGATGGTTGACCCGCTAATTTACATGAAACCATGGAATGCGACTGTTCGGACGTCAACACACCGCGCCGGTTGGTTCCGATATAACAAGCAGAAACAACTCTGTTTACATCCGATAAACATGGAGCAGCTCTAGTGAGGGGATTCAGGTGGATAATAGAGAGAAACAATAAAACACACCGACTAATCCCTGGCTTCCTTCCATGTTGCTCTCCATTGTTTACTTTCCTGATTTTTGTCGCACAGGTGACATAATCAAAGCTAACCTAACGTGACGATGTCAACATGTATTGACGGGGGGAGGGGAGTGGAGGTCTAGCTTTATCTGCCAATAAGAAGGGAGTAAAATGGCGATTGTTAGCGGTGTTTGAAAAACACGCGTTAACCTGCTATTTTCAGTGGGAAATAGGCTTTAGACACATTAAACCAGAGGTTAAGGAGATATCAGCTTTCTAGTAACACCATCCTCCACCCAATCAATGAGTGTTTTAGCTCGACAGGGAACAAGATCCCAGTTTTAACACAGAGAAAGAGCCAAGATCTTAAAATGAGAAGTCCGGTCATATTCAGAATTCAAACTTCTGAAAGTATTTTTAATATGAAATTATTTCATACTTTTGAAGAAATGATCAGTGTTTTTAATTCAGAGT